CACTATAAAATGATGTATTATTATGGAAAAATATTAAAAAACTTCTTTTTTGCTGTGTGAATGGCAAAAGTTTTATATAATTTTTTTTTTTATAGAGTTTGCGCAAATCGGTTCTATGTTTAAGCGACATGGTTTTCCCCCTTTTTGTCAAATCAATCCTGTAACAAATGTAGACTTAAGTGTTTTATTGAGAAAGAAAGAGAAACGAAGAAGAAACGAAGTTTTATTACTTATGCCTGATGTGCAGGCTGTAGCCAATAATAATAATGCCCTAAGCAGATGATGCCCGATGATTCTACAGTTGCCTCCATAGTTCGTAAATTGTACAAATATATCATATCATATATAAATTACAAATTTTTAAACCTAATACACATGGTATATTGGCCTGATAAGGTTTTAAGACTATATAGATACAGCCAGTGGGGTAGAACTAGAAAAAATGTGTATACATATATACAAATTTTTATATATTTTTTTATCGTAAAATCTTTAGCCATGTAACTGATGGGGGCGTGGTTTACCACAAGCATAAAACAAACTATTATAGCGATTTTGAACGAGAATCAAGGTGGCTGTTCTAGAGTTCGATTTAAGAACTATTATTAGCACTTACTATATCTCGTATAGTTTTGGTGGGGGTGTTACGATTTGTGGACAATCGATGGGAATCTTTAGGTATTCAGTAGGACATTTTGAGTTAGAATATAATGTGAATAATTTGTGTAGATATTCCATTTTTTATGATGTATGCAAAGTGAAAACAAAAATAATTGAAATTTTTTTAATGCGGTTGCCAAAAGCGTGTATTATTTGCCAATTAGGCTAAATCCAAGTAAAGGTTGTTCTAAGGAGTGCCCGACTAAAGGATACCCTGCACACCGGGCAGAGCAATTCAATCTACGGCTGTTCAATACATACATATTTAAAACACATGCACACACAAATACACATACATGTATAAATACACATATATGAGCACGCGCTCTGCTTACTGCGCAGTTTACTCAGCGGCTGCGCTTGGGCTGCTTTTATGGGAAATTAATTGTCGAATAACTTTTGTTTTAAATGCACTCTCACAATCAAATTTTAGGAGCACACGAAAGGCATCCAGCTATATATGTACATATATTTACCATACCATGAGTCTTTGCTTCTGGAATTGTTTTATTTATTTTTTTTTCACTAATGTGAGGGCATTTAGAAGGTAACTAAAATCTGAAATGAATAAAATTTGTGTAATCATTGCAAAGTAAATTTTGTTAGCAAGTTTTCATCATTTGCAATGGTTTATCGAAAAATAACTGTTAAGATCGTATTGCATATAGTAATAGAAATCAATATTACTAATTTCAAGTGCATTGCATATGCAGTTTATGAGATCGGTGAATTTATACGAACGAAGAGTCGGCTTTGACTAGATGAATTCAGATTTTCGTTAAGATCAGGAATATAAATGTGTGCAATATGAGGTCGGTCAGGTCTCCTTCGACAATTACACACATATTCAGAGAAACTTATAAGAAATTTCGATTTCAATGAGCTCAGCATATAATAATAAACGACTAGGCTATTCTAGTCTAGTCGAGACTGCTCGAGAGGACTAGAGGAAGATCCCCTAAGCCCTGCAAACAGCTGAGATTCCAATCATTCTGCCCTTCTTTGACACGAAGGGGCTTGTTTTCCCATATTCAATGAATGATTTTATGCAAATGTATGGAATAGTCAGAAAGGGATATGGCAGACCCCAAGAAATATCGACCTGAAGCGATCTGCTTCAGTACCATTTCGCTAAAAGTTTGTATACCTCTTGTATGTATACAAGTTTATCTTCTTTTTTCGGAAGCTCCATCCATGTCATTGTTATTGAAAAGTTGACAATTGGGTGGAGTTTTTCGAGCAAAACTTGAAAGTCATTTAGGCAAAAGTCTATGATAATTTCTGTTATGATGTTAGGAAATACAGTCGACTCTCGTTATTTCGAAATTGAAGGGACTCTTCGAATTGTCGAGGGTTTAACCATATGAGTACGAATTACCGCGTCTTAGCAATGATTTTTAGTTCGAATTACTGAGTGATAACTTTGAATTAATGAGAGGTTCGAAATAACGCAGGTTTGAAATAACAAGAGTCGACTGTATTAGGAAACTACATCAATTATATGGCCAGTTGTGGTGGGAGCCTTCAAACTCGGGTAATAAGGATGAAATATTATATACTTTTATACTTTATTTAAATGAGAATTAAGGACTCTGAATTTTTTGGAATTGGTAGCTTCTTTGATCACGTACTCATCTAAATCTCAATGCCTTCCTTGAATTGTTCGTTCTTAATATCGATAATATCGATTTTCGCGATCCCTTGTGTTTTTTTCTTTCTGATCCTTTATTCCTTACTTTTAAGGTCAAATGTAATCTTTTTCTAATTTTTTATAGTTTATGCTAATAGCAATTAGTTAAAATAACATGATAAAATTTGTTTTTGTTGAAAATTGTTTTAACTTTTGTTTTCTAATTTTGTTTTTCATAACCTCTAACTATCCGACAAGCCGAAGATTTATAATATAATATATATAATAATAAATTTTATTGGATTGAAGTTAAATAAAAACAATATTCATTAAATATTCTATAAAATTGATCAATTAACATACCAAAATTAAAAACTAACAGCACAAGCTTCAGAGCAGAAAATGCCCTTTCCACCGAAACCTGAGTGGCAGGCACTGAATGAACTACGTTGGCAAGACGGTACAATCGTGGATAAGTAAACTTTTTGTCCTCCCAATAGCACATAATATCCACGTTTAAATCTATTGGCTTTGGGGAATATCCATATATCTCGGTTATGGCCAATTTGAGTTCCGGTTCGTCCTCTTCCTCAGACTCTTCACAGTCAGACGCAACCTCAGTAGAGTTCAAATATGCGTTTAAAAAGGAGCATGTGCTTTGCGATGTCAATTCAAGGCCATCCTCCGGTGGAGTCGACGTTGCCTGTGAGGCTTCTGGAGAAGTCCCTTTATCAATTGTTTGGCTCTCCTGATAATAAAAGCAAAAAAGATAATTAGTAATTGCTTTTAAATATGGAAGGAGCTATTAGGATCACCTTTTTATTTAGGGCAAGTATTTGGCGCATTAATTCTGGCTGCCGCCAGCTGAAGTGGATTCTTCAGAATCCGCCGAATTCTGAGATCCAAATAAATTGAAGAGAGAATCACCTCATTTGTTGTGAGTATTTCTTCAAACCATAGCTATTCTCCATGCCATAGAACTGATCCAAAAAAAAAGAACAGGAAAATACATCATTTGCTCCGACTCCCTCTCGTCCCTAAAATCCATCTCCAATACCAACAACAACAACTTATATCCCGCAACCATAAGAACACTCCTTACAAAATCTGCCCCCAAAATAAAACTGTTCTGGGTACC